GAAAAATTATTGTACTTTTTTTAAAATGCCCAGTTGTTGTTGTGTGACTAGGTGTACATGGGCTTTTGTTTTCTGTCTTCTCACCTGTGTGACATGACAGACATGACAGTGAGAAGGTGATTGTGGCCTTTGATTCCTTCTTAACAATCTAGAGCAAGAAAAATTGCAGTTGATAGTTTGTTTCACATGTGGGACTTTTCTGGTTTCGTACTGTGTCTCTGTGCGACCCTATGGTTATTCTTCCTTTGATGAGTTGACTTTGCTTAAGATGGCTTACTGCCTCCTCTCCTGCTGAGTTTTCTTTTCAGAAATTGAAGATATAAAATCTGTGCTTTATCTTGATTGTTCTCTTGGTTTGATCCTGTTGGAGGGATGGATGTCATCAAGATTGTTTCTCTGTCTGCTGGGGTGTGTGTATTCTGAGCCAGCAATGAACAGGCTGTGAGTGTTTAGTGACACTTGGTACTGTTTCTGCCAAGACTCAGGTTGTGTGAGGAGAGTTTAGACTCTGCTTCCAGGAGTGTTTCACAGAGGTACTGGAGTCTGAGGAAGTGGACTCCAAAAGTGCTTGCAGGGGACAAGGTGGGCTGTTAGACTTAGTTTTAAGCTGATTGTCTGCTTTCTTGTCCTGAGGGAAGAGTTGTTGCCATGTTGGCTTCCAGCCTAAGAGAAGGGACGCAGGTGTAGTTCTGGCAAAAATAATTCAAAGCCTTATGCAGCACCGCAGCTGGCTGGGGTGCAGGACCTGGTGCTCCTCTTGGCATTTATTGTTGTCTTGAGGTAAGAAACTTGAATAAGGTCATCTATTGTTGAATGAATGGCCTTGAACTGAAGAAAATGTTAAAAGGTGGATGAGCACCAGCTTTGTGGTAGCATGTCCAGTCTAGGTGAACTGTGGAAATGGTGCCACAGAGTTAAGAGGAGGGCAGGGGATGCAGTGGTCAAGTAAGAATGGAGGGCTATTTAAATCAGATCAAGAAAAAAAAAAAGGGGAGTCCCCACACAATTGTATACAATTCTAGAAGTTTAAGAAATGGGACATCAAGGCCTGCATGAAGATAAAAGCATGGCAGATATTTTAGAAGGCTTTTGGAAGATGATGAGTGGAATACTGTGATACCTGTGCAACAGGTACAGAAAGGAGAACTGGAGGACTATATACTTAAAAGCAACAATGGGAAAACCTTGTAGTCAAATCAGATTTCTTGCTGAGAGGCTTCGTTTGTTCCTACAGGATTCCTGTGGGGTGGGTTCAAGGCTTGATTTGGGGGATGGGGGTTATTGGCACTGGAGCTGGTGACAGATGCTGCCCTGCACAGGGTGTTTGGTGTAGCTGTGAGGGCATGAAACGTGGCAGGAGCAGGAAACTTGGCTAAACTGGATAGCAGTAGTGCAACTAAATATAGTACATGCTGTCCTTGTCCCTTTGTGCTTCACCATGGGCTCGTCTGGAGCAGGCTTTAGAGCTCTGCCAACAGTTTTAAGTCAAATGTGACTCGAAACACCACGTGGATATTCTGGAGCTACAGGGTTTATTAGTGTAAGTAACAGTTTTGCAGACTGATGCACTATATAATAAATCAAAAAGGAGATGTCTCATTATGCCCTCTCCGACTTTCAAGGTCTTAGTATCCTCAACACAGGCGACTGGACTAGTTTTCAGTTTATGGGTTCAGTAACGAACCTGTGGACTTCCTGAAGATGGGCCACACAGCCAGTTGTCCAGCTGCTGTGACATCCAGGACTGATAATCTCTTGATACGGGGCTGCTCTCACGGGCAGAGGATTTATTTGCCAAACACAGTGTACTCTGCACCTGGATTGCATCATCACATGGAGCTGAATATTAAGTGCTACTGGCTGAATTCTTTATATGTGGGGAAATTAATGGAATAACTGTTTACACACTGACAATTTCAGTGCTGAAAAGCATGATGTGTCTATTTTGTTTCTTCACAGACTTGTTTTGTAATGCCTGCATGTCCTCTTCAAAGGAAGTGTCTTAATGCTGCTCAGGTGTTTTCTAGGCACTTACTCTCTTGATCCCAAATTGGTTTAGGCTTTGGTATCTCCATTTTAATACTTGTGTGGCTTTCCCCTTGAATCAATATTGGGTTTTTTTGCACTCATCTGGGATGAACCCCAGCTGGATGGAAGGCACGTATTCTAATTCAAGGTGAGGCATGAAAATAAAATTTCTTTGGAAAATTAAGAAAGCTTTTTGAACTCTTGCTGGGAGGAAAACTCAATGTACTGTGAAAACAGTCTGTATGGCCATGGGTACTCAAGGGAAAAAAGAAGATTGGAGTCTTGGTGGTTCAACCACTTTACAAATCTTCCTTTTGAAAAAACTGTCCCTGAAAATGCCTAAATTAATCTCTAGTATGTGCTCAGATATCTACCTTTTAAAAGGTTATATAATTTTCTCTACAATGTCACATTCAGCCCCAGAAAAAAAATTGCATGGTTTCTAAAATGAGAGCTTTGTGCTGTGACTGGTGTGGGTTTAAAGCTTCTTGTCTGCCTTCCCCAGGGAAGTCACAACGGGCTGTCCTTGCCCATGGCACTGGCCCCAGCACCTCTGGGGTTACTGCATTGCCACTGTCCATGTTCTGGAAGGTGCCAGAGGAAGCACCTTCTGTGTTCTAATGAGTCATTAACGTTGTGTTCCAGAGTATCTCCTAGCTCAGGAATTTACCTGACTGAGGAGTGAAATGAATAACGTTTTTGGGTTTTTTTGGTCACTTTGATGTTGCTGCAAAGGTTTTTTGGTAGTACATGAAGATGGGAGAAATTGCAATGTTGCTTCTGAGAATGCTTCCTCTAATGTAGTTCAACATTGCTATTCATAGCAGTTCAGTTTTGTCTCACAGGTCTTCTGTGAAGTATCTTTCTTCTACGTGTTCCCAATCTTCATTTCCCAACTCTCCATTGTATCAAATGTCAGCCTATCTTGGAAAGAGGGCCCCTTATAATACTGTGTTTTTGCAGAGGCTTAAAGGTAGACAAGTTGTTGGGAACATCTAGCAAGCACATGGCAATGGTATGAAAAACAGAACTCGGCTCCCAGGATTTTCATTGTAATGCTTTGGCTACAAGCTAATCCTTCCTTTGCAGAGAAGGTCAAGAGAAATGGAAGTTCTTCATTTCCCCATACCTCTTGCAGCTGAGCCTTGTTCTGCTTCTGTCAGTGGGATTTATTTCTTCACTTAAATAATGGACCATTGGAGACAATGTTCCCTGTTTCACTTCACCCTTAACAGAAAGCATCTTTCTGAGTGGATCATGCTCACCCCCTGTGCAAAGCTTGATTTGTCTTGTTTCCTTCCCACATGGCAACTTGTTAAGATGGCACAGCCTTTGCTGCTCTTAGGCATCCTACTGCTTCGTGTTGCGTGTGGGCTAATTGTCGTAGAGATAGACTGTGCTGTCCAAGCCCGTAATGAATTCTTTAAGGTTGCCATACAGCATTGCTTAAGCCTGGCCCAGGAGACAGTGTTATTCCAGAGAACTATTAGTAGATGAGCCAATTAGTGTGTCTTTAAGTGAATGGTGCCAAGGGGAATGGCATGTTAGGCAGGGCAGCTGCAAGCTCGGCCTGAAACACAACCACCCTTGAAACCCTATCTCTACTCCACTGACCCATGAGGGCTGGCTTCATGCTGTTGACTGACCGTGCGGGTTGTGTCAATGCCTGAAGTGTAACCGCTTCCTGGTAGCGGGGCAGATCCTGCCTGCGTGACTGATAACGTGTTACTCGAAGCCAGGGAGAAATTGCATTTACACATCTTTTCTGTAGCTGACCACAGAGAGCTGAACTTGGCGGGTCCCTGTGATGCCTGCGTCCCAGGTTACCTGAGTGGGAAGAGTTTGCTTTCCTCTTTGTGCTAAATGAAGGTCCGGGGTGTTCCAAATAGATATAAAAGAGTGAAAATGTGAGATGACATTTCCCAAGGACTTTTCCCAACAGAACCTGTTACCTGTGGGATGGGAGAATCCTCCCTCAACTAGGATTTCCCTGCAAAACTCACTTCCACATGTTACACTCCCAGGGTTTTATGCAGGATAATCCCCTGGGCGATAGCTGAAGCTGGGTCCCAGCGGCTCATTTACTCTGGCTTTACCCCTGGCAATCACAACTGTCTGCCCGTGCGGAGCTGCCTCGTGCCCCTTGGTCTGAAACACCCCATGGGGTGGAGCTGCCTGGTGCAAGGGGAGGCTGTGCTGCAGAGCCTGGAAAGCATTTCCTGAGAGCCAACTTCTTCTTCCGCTAAGTCCCTGCCACCACTGGGAGCCATGGCAGGAGAAGGGGGTGACCTTTCTCCTTTTTTGTGCTGGGTCAAAGTCACTCTCTTGCAAGAGCGCGGAGCGGGGCAGAGCCCTGCGTGTGGCTGGAGCTCCCTGTGATAAACTGGTTGTTTTCCCCTCTCCTTTCCCCTCCTGGTGCTGCGCTGGGCTTATCTGGGCGCCTGAGTTATGTTAAGTAGCGGCTGCGTGCCTGCTCTCTGTTCTCCTCGCTGCTTTTGCTCCTTGGATTTCAATTCCAAACATGGTTATCCATTTGGGGTCTCTCTCCTTTCCGCTGCCAAGTGATACACATTCCTCATTCAACACCAGCTCCCTCCGCTGCTCTCTCACAGTCGCTATTTCCAGTGCCAGAGGGCTGGCGAGAGAGGCAGTGCAGCGAGATCTCTGTCCCGTCTGCGAGTTTTACAGCTAATGGCCTCTACTCTTTCTTTGACTGACCTCTTTTGGCCTCATATTTGCCAGCTCCTTTTCTCACTGGTGTGGCGAAGGAGGGAGCCAGTTGCTGGTTTGTGAGCCACGAAGAGGAGCAACGAGCCCTTTGGGGATTTTTTCAGGCACAAAAACATTTGGCGGCACTTTAACATGCCGCTCTGAAGCACGCTGCTGTAGGACCGGCTGGTGCTCAAGAGGAGGAGGAGGAGGAACAGCTACCCAGCAGCTCTGGTTTCAGACCTCTGCAGCACCCTTTGTGTATGACAATTCGTTTCGAGCGCAGGACGGCCGGGGAGGGTGGGGAGTGGGGAAGGATGAGCGCGAGCAGCCTCTCTTGGGACCAGGCTATTCTCCAGCCTCCGGTGTGCGATGCTTGGAAGGAGATTATGGAAGGAGCAGCCTACCAGCTGGCCAGCTGCATCGTCCTCATGGGCTACATGGGGGGAAGTGGCATCTTTGGGTCCCTCTATATCTTTGGCCTCCTGGCCCCAGGCTACTTCTGCTATGCTCTGTGGGGCTGGCTGAGCGCCTGTGGGCTGGATGTCTTCATCTGGAACATGCTGCTCGTCCTCATCTGCTTGCTTCAGCTGGCTCACCTGGTTTACCGGCTCCGCAGAAACACCATCCCAGAAGAGTTTGACCTTCTCTACAAGACCATGTACCTGCCCTTGCAGGTTCCCCTCGAAGTCTACAAAGAAATTGTGAAGTGCTGTGAAGAGCAAGTCCAGTCGCTAGGCAGAGACCAGTGTTACGCGGTGGAGGGCAAGACGCCCATTGACCGCCTCTCATTGCTGCTGTCCGGCAGGTAAAGCCTTTCCTGTTTCTGAACAGGCTGACAGCAAAGCTCCGCGGCTTATTGTTGTAATTTCACTCTCTGTAGAAACTGGGGTGATGATTGTTTCCTCCTCTGAAGGGACTTTGAGTTATGGATCTGTTGGGGAGGAGGATAATTTGCTTTTGGGTGTTGTTTTTGTTTTCATTTTCTAAATTAGAATATTTCAGGGAACAGTTTGCAAAACCAAGCTATGTGCAGTGAAGTGGCCAGCTCAGCCTTGCTTGTGATGTTGTTGGGGGGCCCTTTCCTCTCTCTGTCGTTTTAAAGTGGTCTTATTTCTGATGGGAGCAGTCTGTTTGTGAGAGAGTTTCTCAGGGCAGGAAGGTGGTGTGTCTGCGTACCAGACATACATCTGTGATATGAAAGGCCAAACGCTGAGTACGCTGAGTAGGAGTCCTGAGTTCACCTGCTCTCCCTCGTCAGCAGTGTTCAGGGAGAGGTTTCACCCCTGTTCCCAACACTTCAATCCTCAAGGCCCTGAAATTTTTCACTTTGAGGGTCATATTGTCAAAAGAGAGAGACCTTTCCTGTGGTGGATCCTGCCTCATCAGGCCTCTTTCTTTCCCTGTGCTCTCATGCATTCATGATGTTCCTTCCTCTGGATCACCAAGGAGGACCTCAGGGACCCCTAGTTGCACTGGGGATTTGGTTATTGAATGAACTGTGCTGATGAACTACTGGCATTTGTTCACCTGAGATCCTGCAACATGCTTTTATCGCTTAACAATTTGCAAAGCCCAAATGCAAGGCAAACAGGAATGATATGGGTTTCCCAGCTGCTGCCAGGCGCTTGGCCTGAATGTCAAGTGAGAGAGAGGGAAAGGAAGGAGTTCTGTAAATGGGAGCAATGCTGAACTGTAAGAGGTGGGTGTCACAAGGATTTTCCTTTGGGAAGACAAAACCAGCATCACTTAGAGCTTGTGTTTTACTGTGGTGGTCCATCGAGATGGTGTGTAAAGAAGAAGATCTGTCCTTCCTTGTTTTTAGTCTTTGTCGCTTTTCTAGGATGTGTTAAGAGCATCCTGGGACCACTGACCAGTGCTGAATGGCAAAGCCCTGGGAGAAAATTGAGTACATGCGTTTCCATTGGGGTGGGAAGGTGAAGGGAAGGTGTCTTTCACCAAATGTCTGTGCTGAGCAGCTTGCTCTGTAGTTTACCATATCTGCAAATAATGTTAGTGGGGAAGAGTCTGTGCTGTCTTACCCTGCACTGGATAATCTGATTCTGCTCTGTGGGCATGAAAGTGCTGCAATGGAGAGTAAGCCAGTGCTGGTGGGGTAGTTGTTCTGCTCTCTTTTGCAGTGGGAAGTATCCTTCTTGGCTTGTGTAGGATGCTCCGTGGAGATGGGATTGGATTTGCATTTCCTGGTACCCCCTCTATTGCCTTGTGAGGTCCTTGCTGACCCAGCAGAGCATTGCTACTGTTATGATGCTCCCCATTAAACTGAAGAGCAAGACAAGGGGAGCTTGGAAATGCAGATTGTGCCTGGATCAGGCAACCTGCCCTGCAATCCCTGATCCTTCTAGCCCACTGGAAGTCAACGGGGAGCTGAGCCTCCTAACTCCTGAAAGCTAGAATTGCCTTTGTGCATCACACAACGGGGGGACATGGTGACATAGAGGCAGGAGGCTGCAAATCTGGTGAACAGAGGTTCAGAGTGCCCTGCCAGTGCCCCAGGCCTTTGCAGCTCTTCTCTGCTCCTATCCTTGCAGAGCTGGGTGCAAGTTCGACCTTGGCATTGGTAGGCAATTGTAGCAAAAGTAGGGGAAAGGGATACCTGGAGCCAAGGGAGGTGGAATGGTCATGTGCAGCAAACTATGAGCTCGAAGCCTGATGTGTCAGGAACCATGGCCAATGTGATTTTGGGGGGTTCTGGGTGTAGCAGCTTCCCAGCATGGAGGTGGGGGAATGCTTTTGTGCAACTCTGAAGACAGGAAGAAGGTGGAAGTACAAAGAGCCACATACTGGCTTAGAAGTACCTGAAAAGCAGCAGCAGTTTTCTGGGCTGAGAAGTCCTGGTTTAGGACTAAGCACTGCAACTGTAAGGGCCAGCTTTGTAGAAGGAAACAGAAAACAGCTGGAATATGGGAAGTGGCAGCAAATATCATTTCCTACAGAGAAAGGAGATACAGCCCCATAGACTGGAGCATTTCCAGCTGTCCCAGAGAAGGTATGAGACATGCGTGAGATGGTGAGAAGTCCTTTCCTCCCTGGTGGGACTGGCTGCCTGCACATTGTGTGTGCTGATCAGGTTGATGTGACACCTATTTTGTGGCCTTAGCCTGTGCGCTTCACCTGTTCTCTCTGCAGGGTCCGAGTGAGCCAGGATGGACAATTCCTTCACTACATCTTTCCATACCAGTTCCTGGACTCTCCAGAATGGGAATCGCTGCGACCCTCTGAGGAAGGAACTTTCCAGGTAACCCAGCCTTGCTCCTTGCCACTTTGTTGTGTGCCTGAGAAGGGGACAGAGGGGGCTCATTATGCCATTCCAAGCTAACCAGGAATACCTTCCTCGTGGTTTAGGCAGCACAGGATGGTGCTATCAGCTGTGTTATCCTTTTTTCCGCCTTCCTCTGGAGCCCTCAGTGCCATGCTCCTACTATCAGCTGACAGCAGGGAGGATGGAGCGTGGTGCCCCTTTCAATTTAGCATGGGGAGGAGGTATTGGATTGCTGGCTCATTTCCATTGTGGTGCTCCCTTGTACCTGCATTGCTGCATTTGCCCTGCACGCCGCTAGCAGGGTGCATCGTTCCAGCAGCGGGATGGCAGCCACAGTGATATGCAGCAGTAATGTAAACCCATAAATATCCTATTCCTTACAGAAGTTTCTGATGGTGATGTGTTTGGGGTGGAGAAGTAGAAAGGATGATTCACACCCGAATATGGTTCTTTCTGAGCAGAAGAATCCCGTGCTGAGAGGCCAGGCCAGTTCTTATTTGCAGTAACTGAAAGGATTTTGCTCTTGCTGTCAACACTACAGTATTTGTTTGGCTTTCCTTCTGGAGGAGATTACTCAATCCCATATCTCACTGCCTTTAACTCACATCCCTGGACAGGCTGATGCCTGCCAGGATGTCAATCTAGAATATGTAATTTAGGGCATATGAGGAGGGATTTTGCTAATCGCTTGGGAGTGTGGGATGGTCATGAAAGAATGGTGATGCTTTCTCATGAGGGCAGCCACATCAGACTCGGTTAAACCAGGGCAGCTCTCCAAATCTGCTTTCCTTGGGTCTGAGTTTGGCCCATGTGCTGTGTGAAAGGGTCGTGGTGGTCACTCCTGAAAGCTCTGCCATTGCCAGTGGTTACGGTCTCGCAAGAACAGTTGCGGGCAATGGCTGACTGTGTGACTGTGGCACAGGGCTACAGCTCATGAGCAGAAACAGGGATGTTGGGCCCAGATAGCGAGGGCAACAAGAGCATGGCTGTGCTAGGGGTGGGGGTATCTCATGTTTTGCACAGGGCTTCAACCTGACAGCAGATTGCTGCTAGCTCCTGGACTGTATTTGCCTAAAAGTCGAGCAGAGAGAATGATGGCTGCCCAGTGCTCCTGGCAGGGGAATATTCCCTCTAAGGCAGGAAATGGGCATCTTAATGGCATGCAACCTGCAGAGACATCTGCAGTGTTTTCTGAGCGAGGTTCTGTGGACGTGAATGTTCCCTACCACCCAGGTGTCTTCATCTGTGGTGTGTGAGACAGCTTGGGAGCAAGCTGGTGGCAGGCAGCGCCAGCCCTGCCAGCACCGCACTCTTGGCCCCTCTCCTGCTCTGCGAGAGGGCTGGTCAGGGAGGTTGGCTCTGCCTGGCACTGGGATGGGGAGGTGGAGTCCTAGGTGGGGAAAGGCTGCAGCCATGGGCTAGAAATGCCTAAACCCCGTGTCTGCTTCCTGAGGAGCATGAAGAAATAGCAGATTGTGCGAGACTGGTATCTAGCAGGTGAGACCTGACAGGTCCATGTTCCTGGCAGGGCACTACTCTTGATGGCCGTGCTTAGCCATGGTGATGTGCTGCTTTTGGCAGCTGTTTAACTCACCAGTCCCTCTTACTTGAGTAGTTAATAAAACTCTGTGGCACATGTCAACCTTATTCCCAGTATCACAACAATTTGCTTAAAAAAAAGTACATGCTTGACTCTAGGACTTTACTGGATGAGAGCATGGAAGGTTTTCCTTGCCCAAGTTCTCCGCACAGCTCTCTGGATTGAGCAGCTTCAATCCTGAGACCACTGAAAACTGGCAGAAGTGTGACTCAGTCTACATGGAGAGCCAGTTTCCTTGAGATTTCTGCTTTGGCTGTGTCTTTTTCCCACAGAACTGCTGGCTCCCAGTGCCTGAAGGAGTTGGGTTTCAGGGCTGGCTCTTTCCTCCAGAAGACTGAATTATGCCAGAACACTTGTGTCAAGGGGATTCATGACTGATATCTGTCCTGCTGCTCTGGTTAGGAGGGAGGTTTTCTTATTACATCTCACTTAATCCTTCATGAGAGCAGAGGCTTTCGATTGCCATGCCAGAAATTGGTTGGGAAAATGAGATTCTGGTAATTTCACTTTCAGTGTGACCCTTCCTCTTGCTCACTTCAGCCTGGGAAAGTTCTCAGGTTTTCTCTCCTATATTTCTTTCATAAGGCAGCTGCTTGCATGGCAGTGGCATTAAATATCAAACCCAAGGACACACACATGCAGCCAAGCTGTGTTCAGCTTCCCAGCGGCCCTCTGCCATGGTGGCTGGCCAAGGAGACCCCTGGATACAGAGTGAAAGGGAGCCCCCAGGATATTTTGGCTCCAGCACTTGTTCACATGCCGGTGTCTCTGTTACACTCGGATGTTCTTTGGCCCAATACAGTTTGACCCTTCCTGTGTTTCTTACCTTTTATTAGAAGTAATAAATTTATATATTACAATATACACTCATGTATTGTATAATGTTTTTTATTATTAATAGTCTGGTCTTACAGCTGGGAGGAAAAACAGCTCTGTTCGCATTGGCAAAACCCAAAGCAAGCCAGAATGTTCTCTAAAATCAACCCAATAAAACCTTGAGTGAGTTCCCTCAAGTAACCCCCTTTTGTTTCCTCTCTTGCTGAGCTGTGCCATGCATCCTTCAAGGCCATTCAGCCGTACAGTGCCTGGCAGAGTTGATGAGACAATGTCCTTCTGACACAAGGTGACCAGGCAAGCCTTCCAGGTGGCCCTTTCCACACCCAGAGCCTTCTTGGAGCAGGGGGTTTGTGACCCAGTAGCAGGACAGGGTGGCAGCCTGCTGCAGGGCTACCCACTGGTGACTTGGGACAGCTGGGCACACAGAAACATTTCCTTGTGTAATGTTTCTGTAGGGGGCTAAGGCCATCTGTGCCACCCCGCTCATTTCAGCTACATCACTCAGGTGTCAACAGGGAGCATCATCTGAACGTGAGGGGGTGAAATGTAGCTAGTCATGTGGCTAGGTTAAGTGAGGGCATGCATAGGAAAAGCTGGTCTCTGGCTCCTTGGGGAGAGGAAGCAGAGGCAGGTAAGGATTTATCTGATCCTTTGGTTTGGGCAGTCTGGCTCTCCAGCCCTGCCATCTCCAAGGAGAGCAGGTGTCAAAGGGGCTGGGGTCCTTCAGTGGAGAGAAGCACCACGCAGCCCCAAGGCGAGTGGTCCCTACCTGGGTGGTAGGATTTACTCTGCTCCCTCCCTGCCCCACAGGTCACGCTGACAGCTGAGACTGACTGCAGCTTCATCACCTGGCCGAGGAAGAAGCTGTATCTCCTCCTGAGGAAGGACCGCTACATTGCCCGTCTCTTCTCATCCTACCTGGGCTATGACATCTCGGAGAAGCTCTACTCCCTCAACGAGAAGCTCTTTGCCAAGTTTGGCCTTCGCTTCGACATCCGCTTGCCCAGCCTCTACCATGTCCTCGGGCCAACCTCCTCCGAGGGGGAGTCAGAGGACTGTGAGGAGCCACCACCCACCTCTGACCAGGCTGGTGCCTCTGAGCCCCCTCCACAGCCCTGCCCAGGCTGGTCCCTCTGACCCCCCTCCACAGCCACCACCGCCACCGGTTCCACGCTCCCGGGCATCCCGGCCTGACAGTGACCTGCTGGGTGAGGACTCCACCAGTCTTGTCTTGGAAGATTTTGCTGAGTTGCCGGGGTCTTTTATGGACTATGTGAGCGAAGGGGAGTATATGAAGTGAGGGCACTCCTGGCATGGGCACGCCTCACCCTGTGTGGGACCCCTGCGTAAGTACCCGCTTGAGGAAGCAAGTTCTTCCTGCAATGCAACTGCCCAGGCAGAGCCGCAGCCCCCAGCCTCTCGCCTTCAGTTGCTGATGGATTTGCTCCTCCACAGCGTTTTTTTGCCTGCTGCTCCAAGGAATCTTGGGAGGTGGGGTCCAACTGTGTGATTTTCTTAAGGAAAAGCAGCAGGGTGAAGGCTCGACTCCAGGCACCAGCTGCACTGTGGGGTGGAAGGGATGGTAACCCAGGCATAGGATGCTCTTCCCTGTCCTCTCTCCATCTCCCCAGAGGAGGCAGAGAAACCCAAATGGTGTCCAGGCTGGCAGGTGCTATGCTAGTGCCCACAGAGAGCCCCCACAGGGCTCAGCCTCAGTCCTCGTGAGGCAGAGCTGTGCCTGGAGATACTCCAGAATTGAGCTGAGAAAGACATCTGCGGGTAAGAGAGCAGACAACCCTGTCTGATGCTGACAGCAGCTCCAGGGTCTACAGAGGACTGATAGTGGGGAGTTGCTGTACAACTTGCAAGTGCTCAATCTGGGCAGGGGGAGAAAGCTCAGAGTCCTTCCTCCCTCTGCCTGCCACAGCTCATCCCAGCATTTGCTCTGTCCTCCTTTTTGCTGCTGAGCTTTGGCTCAGCCAGATCAGGAAGGTATTAAAAAATTAAAAAGACTGCCCTGTGCGGTATAGCTCTTGCCTCCAATGATCCTGGGTGAACTGACAGGCTAAACACCCCAAACTCTGCTTTCAGGTGAGTAGGAATGAGTTGCTGTCTTCCTAAATGCCAACTCTTTACTCTGCAAGGGAAAAATTCCTGGGTCTGGTGGATATCGGGGCAGAGGCGCGATGTAGGCGAACAGAAATAGATGGGAGGTGGCTCATGCTTGAAATTCAGATCCCAGTGGCCAAGAGAGAAATTTCACACTGAGCTACTTTTAGCCAGCTGCTGCATGCCAGCTGCAGACCCTGAAATGTGCATTCCTGCCACTGCCCCATAATAGCTGCTTTCTGGCATCCAGCCTCCACACACCAAACCTAGGGCTGGGATTTCTGTCCTAGAGGCAACCACAGTTTCATCCAACTGCTGTTCTTAGTTTTTGAAAACAGTGGAACTCGAAGATCTTTCTGTTTTGCACAGTTCTGCTTTGAGTTATGTGCTGTTCCTGTACTGCTTCCATGCCTCCAAACTTAAAAGCTGGGATATGAAGAAACTGGCCAGGGAAGGAACAAGTGTATTTGTGTTTGCTGGAATCAGATAAAAAGTCAGCAAGCTTTGCTTAGTTTTTTGTTGTTGTTGGTTTGTGGGGTTTTTTTTGTTTGTTTGTTTTTTAAGAAAGGAGGGAGACAGAGAAAAAGAAAAAATAAACCAAAACCCCCAAAACTTATTTGTTTTCTAGCTTAGAAGTCCCAGGATTGTGAAGTCCCTGGTCTTGCTGGTAGCCTGTTGGAGATATGCATTTTCAGTCCTTACTTGGAGATGCAGGAACACTGAATCATTTATGACATAGCCATCCTCCTAACTGTCAGGCATGTCTGTTGAATAGATGCAATCAGAAATGACTGCAGTTAGTGTTGTAAACGTAGTGAAGGCACTTTGCCTGTGCTTTGCTTGTATTTGGTCTTCTCAGCAGAAGCCTATCCATTCTCAGGTCATTGGCAGAAATTTCCTTGTTGATCAAACTCAATAAAATCAGAATTTCAAATGCAATTATACAAGTAAAGAGGCAAGGAACACTGTAGCTTTTTTTGAATCATTTCCACCTGTTTTTGGTAATGAGTCAATGCTGTGAACATACACACAGGAGGTGTGTGTGTGTATGTGTGTTGGGGAAAGCTTGTGTTACAAAGCACAAAGCTGTTTATTTCCTTTCATGCAATCCTTTTAAAACATGTGGGAAGCTGGAAGCCTTTGTCTTTCTAGATCTTGTGAATGAGGCAGTATCAAGATGTGCTGATATTTGTACTAGAGACTTGTGATAAAAGCCCAACTGTTTTAGAGGCCAGTGTTTAGGGTGGGAGAGGAGGATGTTCGTCCTTGTCTGTCAGTCTGGAGACAATAGCCAGCGTGGTATTTTAATTTCTAAGGTACTTTGACAAGGAAACACGAACTCTGTTTAGTGTGTTCATAACAGCAGAATGAGCACTTCCTTGTTACTCTGCTCACTACTTGAGTATCCTCATCACATTGCATCCCAGCAGCACAACAGCCATTGCCACACCCGAACAGTATTCCCCATTTTGAGTGCCTGACCACAAAAACCAGTGACACAGAGAGGCTGCAGTTTTCCCTTCTGGCCAGGCACTTGTCCCAGCTCAGCAGATGGTCTCAGCAGGTCTGCCATGGCCCAGGGAAAGCACTTGATTAACTTTTCCCTTAGAAGTGATGCAGACATCCATAGTAAAGAGGGATATTCCCTGCAGTGTCATTGTTCAAAGTAAGCAATAGCTGCAGTCCCAGAGGTAAGAGCTCCCCAGGTGCTTTCCACTGGTCTGTGCTCTCATCTGCTTCCCCAGCAACTTCCAACCTGGGTAACCACCTTGCAGCTCTCTAAATTCCCCCCACTGAAGGGTTTCTATGGATCACATTCCTTTTGTTTTGTGTCACTGCAATGGCCACCTTGCTATGCCACAGTGCAGGAGACAATTCTTGAATATCCAGATGTCCTGATTTTGCTAGGATAGAGTTAATTTTCTTCTTAGTAGCTAGAATAGTGCTGTGTTTTCATTTCAGTATGGGATTTGCTATGAGAAGAACGTTGGTAATATTCTACTGTTGCTGGAAGTCCAAGGTCATTGTGTTTGGCTAGTCTGCAAGTGCAAAGGACTGGGAAGGGGGAAGCGTAGTAATTAGCAAAACTCCAAATTGGCATTTGGATATGCCATTGAGATATTCCATATCATATCATGTCATGCTCAGTATATTAATGAGGGTTGACCAGAAAGCTGGGGATTCTCTTGGGGATGGCTCAGGCTCACTCTTCTGGGATTGCAATTTCAGTTTCAGGATTGTCTCTGCTCTGGGATCGCTGGCTGGGGACAGGCTTGGCATTGGTCAGCGGGTGGTGAGCAACTGCACTGTGCATCACTCATTTGAATATTTCACTATTACTGTTGTTATAATTATTATTTTAATTATTATTTTATCTCAATTATTAAATTGTTGTTGTCTCAGCCTGTGAGTTTCCTTACCCTTACCCTTACCCCTCCAATTCTGTACTAGGTTCTCTGCAGGGTGGAGAGTGAGCGAGCGGCTGTGTTTGGCTGCTAGCCCAGTGAAACCACCACAGTAAAGTGATGCAAAGATTATGCAGAATGGAATTTTCCTGGGACACATATTGGTCTACTATTTGTACCATCTAGTTCCTTGAAAGAGTTTCTAGTCTGCTTACAAGCAAGACAGACTACGATACCCTACTGATAAGCACGTCCTTTCTCTTAGGAGGAGAGAGATTTCAGGAACTTACAGACTGCCTGTTTAAAAGAGGCAGGTTCAGAGGTTCTGTTGAAAACTTGCTTTAACAGTGTGCTGCTGTGTAGCTCAATGCTCCATAGCAAACTAAGCTTTATTCCTTGCATGAAAATTCAAACAACCAAAAGCCACCTGCTTTTTCCCCCTTTCACAATGCATTTGCTCTAGTTCGTTCCTATCAGGTGCTTGCAAGATGTGGAACTGCTGCTGCTTAGTTTTGTGCAGTTACATCTTGGGGCTGGCTTTCTGTTTGGTGGGTGAGCTGAGTGGATAGATGGATGCGTGATGGCCTGTAGCTTGGTATCTAAGCTAGTAGGAATTGTTTTGAGAGCAAAATCAAAGGAGCTGTGGGCTTTGTTTCACTGATATCACAAAAGGTGCTTTGGAGGGGTTTGGTTTTGCCATCTCAGGATGGGTGGGTAACTCCATCTTCTGATTTATCACATGTTGAAGAATTACATAGTTTTGCATGCTAATGTAGGAGGGGAGGGGAGAAGTACAGGTAAAGGTGGGCTCCATGAGGTTTGTGTCTTGGAAAAGTTTGGAAGTAAGAATTATCCTGTGATAATAATGGTTTTCTCTCTCTGTCTCTCTCTCTGTCCCTGCTTCCCCGCCCCCCCCC